GAGAACAAGAAAGGATAGAAACGCCATTACAACAGGTGCTCCAGTCCCACGGGATGGCCGCAAACGCCGTTTAATTCTGCTATTTCTTTCCTCGAGCCGTCGCCCCGCCCGTTCATTTCACAAAAGAATGTAAATTGATCCCAATCTTTCCATTATTACACCTTAATAATCGGTTGAGCCGAAACAAAGCTCGTTAAAGTAGGCACGGTTTGAATCGGAGAGGCTTATTTCAAGCATAACATTTTTTCCCATTGCCCAACTCTATGGGCGAACCTGGTTTTTCCTTTATACCAGACTTTCCACTTGAATTATTCTTTCCATTTTTTACTTATTCTGAACCCCAGTTATCCATGAGAATACAAGCCCTAAAAATCTGGAATGTTATCATTTTTAATGCAAATCATGAGAAAAGTATGTATTTAGATATTGACAGAAATTAAAAGAGTTATAAAAATTGCATTTCTTCTGCACTTGTTAAGTTAGTTAACTCTTTATTAAAACGGTAAAAACTACGTTTAAAACAAAAAGAAAAGCATGCCTGGAGCACTTAAATGGATCAAACATATCTAACAAAATTAATTTTTTTTTTAGCATGGATATGTTTTGGACTGGATACACAATGTTTTGCGTGACATTTTTCATGCTGCCAAGGAATTCGCATGCTTAGGGACTGATTGGCTAAATTAGGTGTAGGGTTAAGGGTTAGGTACGGTTTGGTTGCAATAGGTTGGATTAGAGTTATGGTGGTGGACGGGGGTAGGTTAGGTTAGATAGAATTAAAAGTTAGAGTGAGCACCAGTTGACTGAAATAATTTAAATTTATTTTTCCGTGAAGCAGAAAAAATAATATGTGACTGCAAAGCTCTAATTATGATTTAATATCACAATCACAAAAAAGGTTTCTTTAAATTAAAAAATCTTGAGATTTTTTCCACTAAAGTAAGGAATTATAAAACCAACATATTAAATTATGAAATAGTCTGTAAAAACATTTCAGTATAGCATAATAGGGTTTTTATTTATTTATTTTTATTGTAAAGACCAGATTTCGATCCACCTTTGCAGTTTATATATATATATATNTATGTATACTTTCTTCCATATGTCAATACTGGTAGTTAGTTATACGTGATGTTTAGAGACCGGTACTCAGTGATTATTGGAGGTCTTGAGATGAGGCCTGGTGTGACGTAAGTTTTAGAACAACATTTTCTGAAGATGATCTCAATAAAGATCGAAACGTTGACACGAGAAAGAAAACGTTTTTCTAAAACCTACGTCACACCAGATCGCATCTCACGGCCTCCACATTATTACTGGTAGCTATAAATGACACTAACTGAGATTAATTAAATTTCATAATTAGGTGGAGACTTTATTAGGAATTACAATATTGTAAAAGATTTATTTATATACGAATGAACAAATAACGTGTTTTACTATCTCATATCTAACAACTTTTTCTATCAACTTAGCTATTTTTCCATCAACGTTATAGAATTTTATGCTAGTAAGATTTAAACAGAGGAAACACCCCATATAAAAATATTTTAAATTAGAATTTTTTTCAATAGTACAAGGCAAGTTTTTTACTTTCTTCCATTTGTCAATCCTGGACATAACACACGAAACTAACTGAGATGAATTCAGTTTTGTAATTAGTTGGAAGATTTATGAGATAATTATAAAATATGAATAAATTATAATATTGCACTATAACTTTACTAAGATATTGTATAAATAGATACTATAAAATTGTATATTGTATAATATTCATTTTTACAGGGAGGAAAACACTGTATAAAAGTACTTCTTTCGTGTAGTAGGTATTTTTAAACGGTAGGAAAACTCCAACCAGGAAAACAACTAGTTTTTGAATTACCTTTGATGATTATATTTCTTTATGTCGATACTTGAAATCTGTTTTGAAAGAAAAGTGGGATTTTAGACCAAATTTTATAATTTAATGGAGGCTTTACTAGGAATTACCATATTGTAAAAGATTCTTGTTCTTTCCATAAAATTAGCAAAAGAGCGTTTTAAAATTAAAATAAACCATTACATGGAGGATGATCCGTTCTAAAAATACGCTACATTTTTCCTGCATTTGTCAGGGCCAGCATATAGAATATTCCAAAAATATCTTAAAAAATGGCAATATTTTTCTTTTTTTAATCTTTAAAAAAAAGATCGTACTGAATTGGCATTATTTATTTTTAAAGATTTCCTATGAAGAAAAATTAGCAGACGTGAAAACGAGTCAATACAAAATGAAATTAAGATAACAAGATAAGCTGTATAACCACTAAATAAATTTAAAAAATATTAAAAACATGACGATATTTCGTATTTTAACAACTTTCATACCATTTATTATTATTTTATATCAAAGAAACAGAAATTGAATGATTTGATGGACGTTCCAAAAGTTAACCAATTTTTTTTTTAAAGTGATGTTTTAGCAACTTTAAAAAATAGTGAAGACTTAAAAGTTGTACCATTGTTTTTTTACAAACTTACCTACTGCTAAACTTTTGAATAATTTTTATTTTTATTTTATCAATATGTCAAATTACAAATGGAAACCAATCGGGAGAGCTTGTTAGAATATATGTTGTTGAATCTCGTTTTAAAGTTGTTTATGGATCGTAATTCGAAATATTAACTATAATCTTATACTAGTTATCTGTTTATCAATGCATTATTGGGCAAAAACAATTGTACAATCCATAGATTATTCTTGAAATAATAGGCCAAAAACGAAGCACGAGTAAAAATTTCAAGCGATAGTCATGAAACATAACATGGGTTTCCAAAGTGGATAAATTTGGAAAACCTTAGATCCTCTAAAAACTATGATCTCCCCATTTTTGCCAATTGTTTAGCATTGAACGATTCTGATAAAATATGAATACGTATGAACATTGCCATACCAGAGTTTTTGTATAACATCGATGATATTTTACCAATGTTTGCATATTTCCATAACCATGATTTCGGCCAGCCTACCCTAGCAGGGTTAGTTGGTTCGTCAGAAGCGTCTCGCAATTTTGCCATCTTCAGTGTTTGATCAGTAACGACAAAATTAGAAGTTTATAACCATGCAGACCACAGGAGGAAGTTGACGAAATAGTTAATATATTACGCACTTACATAAATTGGAACTTTACATTAAATTTGTAATAAGCAAGAGTATTTTATTCCGTTTTACTTGACTTTCAGACATAGAAGCAATTGTTTTGTTGATGGAAGTGCAAACAGTTTTATAAACTGTCACATTTAATCAAAATCAACAAAAAACACACTTTTTGCTTCCAAATATCGACATCATAGCCTTACTAGAATCTATAAAAGCAAAAAAATTGTTCCGTCCTGCTTCTAAAGAGCTTTCCGACAGAAGTCTGAGAAATTCATTTCGAACGCGATTAATCGAACCTTCACGTCCAGAACTTTATTGGCTACCGGAAGTGGATTATTGTGTTTTCATGTAGCTTTACTTCACAACCGCATAGCAGAATTGATGAGCTCAGAAAGTTAAACAGTGTTAGTGCAAGTTGAGTGGGAAGGAAAATCCAAATCCAAACCCGTTTGGGGAGGAGTTAAACAGTCTAGAAAATGTGAGGTGTTTAGTGACCGTGATTTGGAAATCGTGAAACGCAGACTGGTGTGACGTAGGCTTTAGAAAAACATTTTCTTTATCGTGCCAACGTTTCGATCTTTATTGAGATCATCTTCAGAGCCTTGTGTTTTCTGCATTTCAACAAAAAAGTTCTCTGATTGATAGCCGATGCAAGTTTCTTCTCATTGTTGGCGATGTCCTGTCCATCAACCATGGAACATATGGTCTCAAAGCAAAAAGTATTCTGACGGACATCGCTTACAATTAGAAGAACCTTCATCCGCTATCAATTCGGAAGATGATATCCATAATGTTCGAAACGTTGGCACGATAAAGAAAATGTATTTCTAAAACCTACGTCACACCAGACCGCATTTCACGATTTCCAAATAGTCTAGAAAATAATAAATTAAAAAATGTATCAGAGTAGGTGATCGCGTCAATGTATGTGAGACCTTGAGATTCATTTCATTTGTTTTATTGTTTATTTCTGTGGTTTAGAAAATTGGCCCTTTTTTAGTCCTTTGTCTTTAGTACCTATTGCTATGTTGCTACAATTCTGAAACTTTTTCTAAACTGTATAAATAAGAAACTCGATAGGTGGTTTCCATCTCGTTCCAAAATCAAGTTTACAATTAAATCCCTACTTTTTTATAATAGGAGAAAAGAGGCGGCCACATGGTCTTTTGCACCTCGACCTGAATAGATCTATTGTGCTAATAAAATCGTCGTCTGTTGAAAAAATAGGAAAAGGGAAAAGCAACGTCAGGAATGTTTATTATAGTCATACCCAATGGCTCGAGTCCAGAACGTCGGTAAGGTATTCGGCCTATTTACCAGATTCTACCGATATCTATATTTCAGTAAGAGTAAATATCGATTTGAAATAGTGTATTATGTCTTTGTACAAGCAAATTCAAAAAACATAAAGCATAACGAAAATAATAGGATAGAAGGAAAAAATAATAAAAAAACATAATTAAAACGTATATTTCAGGTAAATTAAAAACAATTTGTACAGTCATATACTTTTTTTGATTATTATAAGTTATTTTATATTACAAAATAATACAACAAAAACTTAAACAAATAAGGCTTAAATAAAAAATAAAGGGAAAGCAAAATGTGATAGTGATTTATTGTTTTTGTTTGTACAATATTTACAATTTTTCTGTATACGAACATAATTTAGGGCGTACTTAACACTTTTAACAAAAAAAAAACTTTTTTATAATATATATATAAAAAAACGCTTAGAAACAAAATAATATCGTTAACAGATCGTCCTTGTTATGAAGATAGTCGTATAACAAATGTTATTTTGAGAAAAGGGTCAAAAAACAACTAAATCGTAGGGCCGGAGCCGTACGGGACAACAACATAAAAGGACGGCATTTTACGAGGGGGTAGGCAGGGGTTTAAACAGCCGAATGTATTTACATAATCACGACTAAACAGTGTATGGTCATAATTAAAGGAAAGGGCATGCATCCGATGATATGGGGGTTGATGTACGAGGTGTATGATAACTGAAAGTAATTTTTTGAGCAAAAATGTAGCGTATCATCGATATAATGTCCTTGTAAAACTCGAAGAACACGCTATGACCATCGTAACTTAAAATGGATGAATACTGTACAATAAAAAATTTAAACAAAAGAAATCATGTTTTGCTTTGGTTAGGTGATAAAATTATTTTCAAAAATGGACGTACGTTATTAATCATGCGAAACAATATTGATAAAACTGGCATAATAATTTTGTATTGTGTTTGACACACATCACTAAATCCAAAGACTTTTAAAATCGTTAATGTGTAATTTATTGTTTTATATTAAATCTGTCTAAAAATTATTCAACTGTGCGTTTTAAAAAAAATAATAATTTAGATTGATTAGACTGTTAAATGCACATTTGAACAAACTGTTCAGTTTTCTTCGAACTGTTTTTTAGCAATGTACATGCTCTAATACTCAAGAAAAACCGACGCATGAAACATTTTAATCAACCTTTTGCAAAGGGCGATTAACTTGTTTGATTCATTTTTGTCACATCGATATGGGTTTACAAAACTAGACAATACTATGATTTTAACGACTATCGCGGTTATTGAAACCATGTCGAGCCCCGTTTTCGTTTTTTTTAACGATACTTAGCAATCTATTAAATTCTATTTGTTAAAAACATCAGAATCTGTAAAAGTTGTTTAGGAGATTCAACTAACAAAACCAGAGAGAAAAATGTTCTTATTAGACCAATTAATTATTCTTTTTATCTACGGTTTTTGGTTGAGATGAAAAATCAGTGTCGCAAGCGGGATTCGAACTTACGAACCCCTGCTAAAACCACTTGAGCTATCGAGAGTTCGATCCCCTAGGACACCAACTACTCATCATCTCAACGTACAACCGTTCCTTCTTTTTGCCATATTTTCTTATTACACTTTAAAAATATTTCAAAAAATAAATGAATTAAATCAGTATTGAAAAAAAAATTCAATACATGGAAGGGTTGGAACTGATAGTCTTTTGAAGGGTTTTTTTTGTTTAATATTTCTTTCGGTATTAATTTTAAATTAATTAACTGCCCTTTCCTTTTGACAAATGAGGCAGTTTTTGTTTAAAGGGTTAATACAACAATTGGCTAACTATATACACTTCCTACTAGAACGGAGATCTCTTCATCGCTCGATGACAATCAAATTTCATTTTTAGGGCCTGTACAAGGGAAAGGACGGACTCGAGAAGGCGGAAGTTGGGATAAACTGAGCTTTTCGGGCAGGATATTTGGTTTTTTTGTATAATTACCGTGTGCTCAGTCCCTGCTTCGGCGGGGGCGGCCGACTTTGCCTTTGCGGACCCCGGTTGCTGGCGAGGGAGCTGGTCCGGATGCACCGCCCCCAGGGCCGCCGCTCGCCTTCACCAGCTTGAGCCAGTCGTTTTCGCAGACGAGGCTCCCACTGACGAGGTAGTACCGATCGCCCTGGACGAGGGGGCCACCGCATTTGGAGCAGGTGAAGCAGCGCAGGTGGAAAACGTGGTGCTGGGGCCCCCCGGAGCCGGATGCCGCTCGCATCACAAGCTCGCTGGCGGGGATCGTCTGTCCGCAGGCCGAGCACGCTCCTGTGCTCCCGAACATTCTGGAAAAAATAAGAAAACTGTTTAAAAACGTTGTATGTGATTTTCAAATTCTATTATTATAAACAAATTACAATGCCCCCAGAAAGATCAGAACTACTGACGAATGTACGAACGACAACCCTATAAAACAGTAGAGGTATTCACGATGTTTGTAAGATGTTCACTTACGTTAACTCGAAATGAGAAATGTCCAGTAAGATCGTGAACACCCGCTTCTTTTTTTAACATGCTAAATGCTAATTTCTCCGCAATACTGCACGTGGCGATGGTAGAACCAAAAATAAAGCAATAACAGTCCTTGAAAGCTTCTTGTTGTTTCTTTTGGTTTTCTTTTCTGTTATATTATTGTAAGATGCCAGAAGCTAGTAAAAAATGAAAATTAACTCATCCATTCATAATCCTACCAATGCACTCGAAAAGTAATAAAAAAATGACACGCTTCAATTCGTGCTGATGCTTAACTTATATCCAAATGTCTAAACATCCTACAACTTTATAGGATAGGGGATGTAGTTATTATGAATGAGAGTGTAAGGATAGGTCAGAAATTAACAAAAGAAATATAATGGTGTATTTAATTAATGCGTATTTAAGAATAAAAATACGTGTAAACCAAAAAGAGCTGTTAAATTCATAGCTGCCATGTTGGTTACCAACGTCCTACCGGCTAGCAAGGTGACTACGATCTTCGACTTAACATGTAACATTGGCCCTGGCCTGTTAGATCGAGCAATGTTAACTAGCCGATTCTTACATGTCATCATTTTTCTCGATCAACACCGACCTAACAGAGTTAACCGGGTAACACAAAGATCCCATAGTTTGTTTTCACAAATGCTTCGAAACAACACCATTTTCCAAAAAATGTTTGGTTGTTTATACTTATACTTTATATTTTATGAAAACGCGTTACAAAGACAAGTTTTTACAATGGTTTAGACAAATATTTAAATGGTTACGGTTAATGGTTAACTATTATTTGTTGAAGCCGCGAGGATCAATCAAGAATGAGGTAGTTTAGAAAAACCTTTTTCATTTTTTTGCCGCCTTTTCGACCTTTCTTCGGATATCTTCAGGGCCTAGCTAAAATCTAAACAACTATTCTTGTGGTGTCATATTGGTTTTGTGTAAAACGTGAATTTGTATTCTGCTGTTTTATACGATTGCGACATGGCGACCAAACAAAAAATTTAAATCTTCCAACTCAAGTATGCCTTATTTGACTGTATTGGGGATGTAAAACATGTAAGACTATATTTAAATTGTTTATTTTATTGAATGCAGTAATTCGCGACACACTCGGAACAAAACGGGATAAATCAGAGAACACAACTTCTCATGATCGCATTTTAGATCTTTGGTACAAATTAAATTTTTATTGTTTTCTATCGTGCTCTCTGAACTTCAATGCAGTTGTCATGGTAAATAGGTTTTTAATTTAATTAACTATATATTGACTTTTTGGTACTAACATATTATGTACCAACTCTTAACTGTTTTTTTTTTAAATATAAATTTAAGGCACTTTCCAATTATCGTACTACTTATGCAATCATTCACGTATTTCATGAACTTCCTAAGCAGTACAATGGGAATAGGTAAAGTTGTATTAAAAACCACTATATTTTGCAGGTGAGATGGCTGCACTAATTGCATGTTACCAATGAAACAAATGCATAATACAAGTACATAACAAATCTTAGTCGTGCCTATACCAATATTCAATAAACTTATTCTTCTTTCAGTATGTAATTATACTAATCATAATTTAAGTTGACAAATAGAAAGTAGAATTATCGAAATATTGATATAACTTTTAAATGTCTCAAAAGGCATGTTTAAAAGTTTTTCTTTTCGATTTAATTGCAATCTGTCAGGCTTAAAGACTGGATCACCTATCTCAATTTGCCAAAATTTGAATTATCCAGTTTAGCTACGAAGTTGCCTATGTCAATTATGTATAATTATCTATCACTTTACACAGTTTCTTACTGAATATGGAATGAAGCCGAAAGTATTATCAGTGAAACGTAAAAAACCAACGGGATTAGTAAAGAGCGGACTCTGAAGTGACAATTGTCTATCAGCAGCTTCATCCACTCGTGACCAACGCAACCAACTTTCTCTAATTTTTCTCTTCATCTTTTCACCCTCACTACCTCTCCTCTCTCTAATTAGGATATTGTTTATAATACAAATTTATGAATTGCTTCTTACAGTATGTGGTAGTTGAATAGGCGCGACTTAAAATGTTTGGCAAAATATCGTATATTATTGTTTGACTAATTTAATTTTCCAATATCCAAAATGGAAAATTAACGTTAGTGTCAATCAAATATCTATATGATAGCCTGTAAGGAATTTGATCAGTTGCTTTATTCTAATAAATACGGTTTTAAATTACATCACTTAAGGAAGGTTTCCAGTTCGACAATAAATAATATAAAAAATAGAAAGTTTCCTTTTTATAATGATATGCATAATAAAGACTGCTGCTTAGGCATAAAATTGGGTCAGCCAAAGTATAAAGTTGACCTATGAAAAAAAGCTCACCTGGTTCCACTATTTATTGGCAGTAGTGAGTAGAAAAGTGGCCTGTTCGTGTTCGTCGTCCCATTCATCAGACATATAAATTTAACAGCTCTGCTAAAAAATTCAGCTCGACAAACTATTATTCCCTGTATAGTGCACCCCATCCTTCTCGCCCATCGCGATTATTCAACTTGGTGGGGGAGAATTAGAAAAAGATATCACCTTCTTTTATTGAGGGATAGATCAAGTTCAATGGAGCGAAGGTGGGGATCTGTAAATCTACTGTGTCGACGAGTGCCGGCGGGGGGTTGCAAGGGGCTAAACAACCGTGGAGGAGGATGTTTCCGGGCGTTCTTTACTTCCAGACTCAAAGACGCCATGAATGAGCAAATTCTCTTCCCGGCGTCTCAACTCACCCCCTTTCCCAACCCCTTTACACTTCGTACAAGTGTTTCTCGTCTTTTTTCCTTTATCGCCCTCACCCCCGCTCACAATTAGCTCTTTGTGTCCTGTAATCCAATAGCGAGTCTCATTAAATCTCTTCCTTTTGCCAATTATCAATCCTAACGCTCAGTGATTCTCTATTTGCTGATTGTTCTGTTGACTCGATTACACAATTACGATTATAATTATAATATTAAATAGTCGAATTTTTTGATAGGGATTTTTCTTTTTACAACGCTGAGATTTTTCAGAAAACCAACCTATTCAATTAATAACACTGCTGAAACCTATTTTTATTTCAAAATTTGAAATTTCTGGCAAAGAAACTGCTCAAAAATGAATAGGAACATTTGTAATTTATTCTTATTCTATTAATTTTATTTAAATTAACCAACATATCCTTGTCAGTTGTATAAAACAAAATGGAAACTATAAACCAAAATTAAACAAATTTTAATCCTCATTATTAATAACGCATTTACTTAAGAATAGAAAAAATGTTGAATACTCATTTTGTAAACAAACACCTTGTCTCGTCTTTTCTCCATTTTAATCCAATTGTATTCTCTTTAACCATGGAAAGACATCATTTGAACCAGAAGTTCGCAATATTATTGTTAGGATGAGTCCTCCAGGTCATCGGCAAGTGGGTATCGCAGACAGTTGGCGTTTCCAAGCACGTGGTCTCCCGGGGCCCCGATTCCGAAAGACTGGGAGTGCAGTAGTAGACCTGGTAATGGATCTCAGCGCATTACGACGCTGCGTGAGGATAGAAATATTGCTGGACGAAACTCTTTCCATAGTGCCCGCCAGACCCTAAATGAAGTCCAAGATATTTTGTCAAGGCCTTTATCAACACAAAGGATTCGTAATGATTTGTGAGAAGTTGGTCTCAGATCGTATGCCCCTTTGGAACGACCTGCAGCAACAGCCCGCCACCAGCAACTCAGTAGAATATGGTGCATCGATCGCCTAGAAGAGACCACCAATTGGAGTGTTATGTTTACTGCTGAGGCGCATTTCTGTCTGTATAGTGATAGCAGGCGCCGAAGAGTCTACCGAGAACATGGGATGCGTACAATGCACCAGTTCGTGCTCTCTTCAGTGCAGTTTGAAGAGGCGGTGTAATGGTCTGGGCTGGGATTTACACTGGAAAACAAAATGGCCTCCTTATTTTTGAAGGTAACCTCACTGCAATCCTTCATGTCCAAAAAATTATCGAGGAATAAATCCCTCATACCAGGGATCTCATTGACAGGGATTTTGGATTTCTGGATGATAACGCCAGACTAATAGAGGCAGACATTTCATCAATGTTTTCAAAACCGGGGAATTTCCTCTCTGCCCCTTCCCTCATTGTCTCCAGACCTAATTCCGATTGAGCACATGTGGGATGCATTGTAAAGAAGGCTTTTTGACCAGTTGACCTGCAACAACTGAATGCAACGATTTCGGGATGTAGATTTCTATTTTATATATTATTGGCATCACAATTCCATCTTCTAACAAGCAAGACTGGCATAATTTCTTTATGAAACAGGACCTTCTGCTTTCCTTAGATAGAATTGGAAATTTATATATATTTAAATATATATATTTAAATTACACATTAAAGTTATTATATTAACCTAAATGATATTTTATATTCGTGTTTCAACTAAATTAAGTTTTTAAAAACACTTTTTCTTTTTTTATATAAAAGCCTTTTGTTGATATCGGTGAAAACGCCCTACTATAACACGACAATTATTAATGAGGTATATAGTGTTTTATCATGTATTAATTTAGACATGCGATTAAATTATACTAATTAAATTTTCAATGTGAAATTTTCTATAATTCAGGCCCTGAAGTCCGTTTTGAAATCAAAACGGAATAATTATTTCAGCTAAGTAACTTGAGACATATTATGCCTAGGATGGTTGGGGAGGTTCACTAATTAATAACTCGATTGGACCACGCTTGATCAACAGTATTAATTAATTAAGAGACGCTCATTAAAGCGCCCTCTTCGCTCCAGTTT